GCAATAATATCCTTTTGTAATTTTGCGAGAGTATTACTGAAACACCCTGTATATTTGTTAAAATTCGTTCGATTGCCAAAAGCTACTCGAATTTCTCTTCGAACCTATCTCTTTTCTCACTCCATATCCTCTAATTACTTTAAATCACTTTAGGGTAGATTTTGGACGGAAATATGTGCGACAAGGAAATTAGAGATTAAATTTTAGATATTATCGGTTTTATATAAATTTAATATTTTATTATTACACCTTTAGAACAAAAGTATGATTAACGATATTTGGTATGTGACATAAATTACAGGATTGATTGACATATTCGTTTGTTTTCTGTCACTTCCTGTTACCTCACAAAATGACTACAACTATATTTTTACCTTATTCGATAGAAAATAACACTGTGAATATAATGACATATTAACATATGTCAACTTTTAACATTTTTGCATACGATTTATTTGATATTGTAACATGCGGTTCATAACGACAATTTGACTCGAAATACCAAGTGTGTGTGGTACCAAATTATTTGTAAAAAAACCTTTTTCCATATATGTTAATGAGCCACCCTTGTACATTTGAAAAAATTGAAATATGATAAAAATACGACTTGGGTATCTTTTAACCGACCAGGACAATCATTTTTTCAAGAGTCCTTGATTAAAACTTAGTGTTTGTAACACACCCATGGCACAGGTATAGATTGAGATTTAAAATACGATTTTTATTAGGCGAGAATGTCAAAAGTTGACATATTGATATGCCATTCTATTCAGAGTGTCATTTTTTATCGAATAAAGTAAAAAATACTGAGGGTACTCTTTAAAAAACAAAAGTCGTAGTAATTTCCGGTGAAACAGGAAGTAACCGAAGACAATTGAATACATCAATCAATCTTAATTTAGTTCATATACTACCATACCAAATCTCTTTTTGTTATCTGAAAAAATAAAAAAGTTATAGGGGGTGAGCCACTTTTGAGACGCACCCTGTATATTAACGCATAACTTACAAAGGTAATATATTAATCAGAATTTTATTCAAAATTAGTTTACTGATGTGGAAATTTTTCAATTATACTGATTCTAATTGCATATAACTACACATTAATATTGCATTAATACAACAAATAATGCATTTAACGAAAAATAATTTTAATGTATCAACAAAAATCTATCCATTATCATAATTTGTTTTCAAACATGTTTAAGCTATAGATTTTATTAATAAATTAGTAAATCAATAATTTAAATTCCATCCAGACAAAATATTATTTTGAAATTGTTTTTCAAAAATTCCGCTAAATAAATAAGCTCCTGGCTATAAAAGCAGAACGTGTTCATTTAATATTTAATAATATGTACAGTGTTTTTTTCTATAATATGGATTTATCAAAATAAGTATTATTTTATGTTATATTAATTATAAATTTAATGTACCTATTCATATTTTGTGAAATGTTTTTTTTTTCGTAATAAAATGGTTGCAAAATGGGGAGGCAAATTGTTTGTTTTAAAAAACTTGGATTAGACTCGATAATTATTAGTTTATGCAATGTATTAATTTTATATTTTATGTTGTCATGTTTCATATAAAATATGTTTAGATAAATATACAGCTCTTGATTTTTCTGAAGTCTGAATTGGACAATTAATGGTCAGTTATGCCCATCCTCGATCATCTGGAAACAAAATTTCGTAAGGAATTTTTATTAAAATATTTGCAGCCCATTACATTAATATAATCAAATCCTTTTAGCAATTCCTATTAACCCTCTTACGCTAGGAAAATGTTAAAACAAAATTACAATTCCTCCTTCTTCATCCAGCCAAGGAAATAAAGGTCTCTCCCGAATGCCTTTTCACTTACCTGGAATGCTCTGCTGACGTGACAGGCATGAATAAAGACGAAATGAAGCCCGATATGTTAATTTTAATAAGGAGATTAAGTATTTGTCCTTTATTTTACATCAAACACTGTCGTTCGTACCTGTATAAAACTACTGATTAAAAAAATATACATTTACGACATTTTTTCTTACGGAAAAAAGGTAGAATTCGCTACTAGTAATGGTTCTTGAGATATTTAGAACTTAATTTATCAACACCTGGTCATCATTGACATAAATTAAATATGTTGACTAAATAGTTACTAGACTGAAATCATAAATTTGAAATGTTTTTGTGCGAAAAGTTTAACAGAAACTGTTTTATCATAATTTTTTCGAAGAAAAATTTATGTTTAATTTAAAAAAATAAAAAGTTCCCAAATTTATCATTTCAGTCAATAATTCTGTGATATTGCTGGTCATCCCGTTTAGTCTGTGTTAGTTAATTAATTTTTATATTCTCTTTTTTGTATTTTTTATTTTAGTGTAGTATTTAATACCTATTGTAATTATGTATTATTTTTTGTTCTTATTTGTACTATTTTAAGATATATTTCATATTCAAAATAAAACACTAAATCACCACAATACACCAAAACACATTTACTTTTACACTGGACGCGCGTTTCGCTAACTATGTTAGCATCATCAACAGATGATTATAAACTATTAGTTAGCTTATAAGTAAGTTTTTGTAGTCCGTAGGCTTCAATTTCAAGCATACTTTGTTTACTATACGGAAATTTTGATTTCTAAATCAAGCCATTTTTGTTTTGCAATTTTCTCTACCTTATCAGTAACGTTACTTTTCGGAATATCAACTTTAATAAAACTAAGATAAACTGAATTGGCTTTGTATCATTTAAGAAACCAAATATCTGCTACTAATAACCTAATCTTAGTACTAAACTTACGATAAAGATTCAGTTCCGTTGACCGTGAAGCCATCGAAGATTACAGTTGAGGGTTAGAACTTTGGTGTTACACAGCAAATTAAAAACACTAAATCACCACAATACACCGAAACACATTTACTTTTACACTGGACGCACGTTTCGCTAACCATTATGTTGAGTTTATAATCATCTGCTGATGATGCTAACATGGCAACTGTAATATATTACCTATTGTTTTGAAATTCCTGTAAGTGGGCTTCAACCTGTCGGAAATAAACGACTATTTATTTCTTTATTATTTCCTTATTTCGATTCCAAATATCTTGAGAACGGTTGCTCATGGCGATTTTTTGCCAAGATACATTTTTACGTAAAAATCACGGAGATGTATATATTTTCACTCAGTAGTTTTATACGAGTAGGGACGAAAAGTTATTACTCTTTAAAACACCCCTACAAATATCAGTCATACTGACATAAAAATCAAATTTCTCCTGTCCGAAAATCCTCAGACAATTTTTTATCCAAATATTGACGTTATTAGAAAAATTATTTGGAAAAAATCGAAAAAGAAATGAAATTTCTACACCCTGTAACCCCGAAACTAAGCATTTTAGGACATACATTTATACGAACTTTTTACTTGCCGAAGTTTACTGAATACAGTTTGGTCCATCCACCATATTAAAAGGAGACCAGAACTTAAAATGCTTTACTTTCAGTCAAACTGCTTAAAGTGCTTAAATTTTAAGCGCATGTAGTCAGCAATGTATTAAACTACCAGGTAGAAAATTGGGAAAGAAAAATCAAGTACAACAACTGCTGGATTTACTCCAGGGGCTTGAACTCGTCAAATTAACTACCTAGCAAACTACTTGCGGTAATTCACGCTAACTTTGTTGCAACTAATATAATTTCTCGGTTGCGGGAAATTAGTAGGTAACGAATTAAGCCTGGGAATAATACGAATATAAATCACAGCAGAAAATGCTATTAATATACAAGGAAAAATAAATAATCCTTCAAACTATTAAAATTTAAATTACGGTTATAAAATCAGTATCATAGATTAGTATGTTATGCATAATAACAATACAGAGAGGCTCCAAGAAGACAGTTTGTATTGAAATGAAATTTTGTGAGCATATGTAAGTTATTTCAGAGCACTTTTTAAAAATATAGGGAGTTCTACAGAGTGTCCGTGAAAAAAGTTACATATCAAAGTTGTGTTTTTTGTAACGGAACACCCAATATATTAATTGATTTTCGGATTCTGCGAGAAAAATAAAGGTGAGTTTTATGAAGTATATGACAAAAATGTAATGTTTTGGACATATATAACATTTTATAGAAATAAAGAACAATTTTTATATTACAATAAAAGCCAACTAATTATTATTATTAACCTAAATTGGAATTTTTCCGACAAAAGTTTGAGACTGTATGATGAGTTATAACTCAAGAAAGGGGGCCACACAATAACTCCTAAAACTCCTAACATTCTTCATTCTACATTCCAGATAACAAATTCAAGCAATAGCGCTTTCTTGTTGCTAGTCCAATTTAAAAATTGAATATTCAATACTATATTTATTTTTAATAAACTTTTTACCATATATTTAAACGTGCGGTTTGGTGAATATACGTTACACACCCGCAAACTGAGAATTATTCATACGAACATAGAACGGTTGGTTCGAGTTTTACCTGGTTTGGCGCTGTTCCGGAAAATTATCCGCGAAATTAACTAACGCTTAACGAAAAGGGAATTATCACCATAAATAATCCGTTTCGTGCCACAACAAGCCCCGCTGTATGTGACTACATATGTGCGTGGGCTAAAACTAATGTTCCGGAAAATTTATCGTCATTGTGATTTAGTTGGCAAATTATCAAACCGTTATTATGCAGTTAACACCAATAAATACGTTTTAGGTTAGGTTAGAAGAAATTTTGAACCAACAATTCGTGTGCTCTGTTTTTGTTCACACGTTTTCTTGTTGTTCTTTACACATTATTTAAGTGATTTACAGTAATTTTGCTAAATTATACGAATATTCTCGTTGATTATTGGTTTGAAATAAGTATGACAATGTCCTCCAATAAAAATGAAAGTTGCTTAACTCTTTTAATTCAAATTTTGAGCTAGTAAATGAGCTAAAAGCTTTACCTAGACCATTATTAACACTATAATGTAATCTTTCTTTCAGAGAATAATAATGGATACACTATACACAGCACGGCTTCATGGGTTTCCACCAAACATATCACATTCATCGATAGAGACAAACATTAGTGAAGAAAGTGTTCTATCCCTTCTTATAGTGTTAGGAAGCAGTGTCTCTTTGGTAGCGTTAGTTTTTGCCTTCATCACTTACAGGTAAGACATAGTAAACTTAAACATTTACGACCAAAAAATTTGACTTATTATTACTGTTTTAAAATATTCAATGTGCTATTATTTGTTTTTATATTATTTATTACAAATAATATTATTATATTATTGTAATAAACTATTATTTGTTTCTATAAATGGCAACATTCGGATAAGAAGAAATGATTTAACATAAACTTATTAAACCTTCTCAAAACAATTTTTTTTTAATTCTTCAACCCACTTTAGATCACAAATCTAAGTGAAGTTATTGGGTTATACCAGAGTGAGATTGCCGGCTGATACAATTTATATCTAAATAAAATAAATAAAACAGGGGAAACCTGAAACCTTTTGAAAAAAAATCCTGGAAGTTCATAAATTTAGGCTGTCAGGGCAACACTCTAGGGAATGAAAGTCAAGCAGATAATAAACGATTTTGGGGTTGGAGAATTTAAAATAAATAAAAAAGAGAACGATTAAAAAAAGCATTTAAAATTTTCAAATTTTTCAGTGGAATACTTATTCTCTTTTATAAATCATTTTTTCATAGTCAAAAATGTTTAAGAAATGTATTGGATTTGTCGCAATTTTGTCGTAAAACATGAATGTTTCTGTCTTGTCGTTGTTTTGTCTGCTTGGTCTGAACCCGGCATTAGGTAGGTAAATTATGTCTAATTAACTTACTTTGATTACACATAAATATGTAGTTGTTCTGTGTCCACAAAATATTGTAACGTCCTGTATAATTTAACATAGATTTGAGTAGGTTTTTGTAACAAAGGCAATGTAAAAAATACCGATAAATTACTTTTCTAAAGCTAACCCAAAACGATCGAAATGAATAAAACAAAAAATTTAATGTTTGGATAATTTTATATTAGATTTACAGGAATATTATTAGAACACAGGAAGACGAAAAATTTAATTAATATGTAGATTTTCCAAAAAAAAGTCTTGTATGGTAAGCGTTTGATAGGACCATAGCAAACAAAATTTTCATATAAAGGACTGTTCTCTCGTACAAAGAAGGTTAATTTTGCAATAAATATTCATTCGGTTCAATTCAGGTTAAATATCTGTACTTTGAAATATTTTAAATGCTATTTTATAAAGTTTTTTTTCTCTTATATTCTTAATGTTTGTGCTAAATAGCAATTTATTGAAGTTATAATATGCAATTTATTGCAACGTAACAAACATAGTTGCCTCCATACAATTTTTAAAATTAAAATATTAGTTTTGAGATACCGTATGAAAAAAATCGGCGTCTAAGATGGCTGGGTAATGATAATCGATGATAATAAATTTGACGAGGTCATAAACGTTTCCAGATACACAAATCTATTTCCAAAAAAAATATTTTTTTCTCGTAGTTTAAACTACATCGTCTAGGGTTTGTCCTCCAAAATTATCATTGATTGTCGTTCCCCAGCCGTCTTGGACGCCGTTTTTTTTCGATCGTCTGGTATTAATGCTTTTATTTCTGATAGTGTACATAATTAAATTATTGCTGACCAGTAACAGTTTAAAGTTTGTGAAAACTTTAAATTGCTATCGATGGCAACATTATTAAACGCCTTGGTAATCAAATTTTCGATCAATCAATAAAGCTTATAATAGCTTATTCGAAAATAAATCAAATAATACCAAAAAATAAATAAGCAGATAATAAAACTTCGATGGTTTATGAATAGTGATGAAACTTTGACTTATTATTACTGTTATTACTGATTATCACAAGTTGTTTTTTCTTTGATCATGACATTTCCTTATCCCCAAAGTAATAAATATCCTGTCGAATCGAGTCTCCGCTATCAGATTCTGGCTCGCCAACTTTATTATTGATCTAATTATAATTAATAAAGTTGAATAATACTCTCTACAGACTTTGGTGCATTAGGTTTCCTACCTGAGTATTAAAATCTCACCAAGATTTCAAAGTTTCTGTTTATTGAGAACGGAATGGCAAACTTTTGAATAATGGCTTTGGTGTAATTGGAAGTGGAGTTTTCTATCACTTTTCTGTTCTTAAATTGATTCTTTAGTAAAGTTGAGGTTATAGTACTTTAGAAAAGTCTATTATTAATTTAGTAATCAATAAGAAATTGAGATTTAATAGAAATATACAAGAGGGTTTAGTTTTTGGACTGAAACTTTGAAACTGGTTTATTTATATTTATGATATTATTTTATTATGGATAATACTCTTCGTGTACCGGCGACTTCTGTTCGCATCGAATTAATCGTTTGTAATGGTGACGATAAAGCAATGCAAGAATTTCCATTAACATATAAATCCGGATAAAATTTTTTCACATTTATGTCAGCATGAGAAAAAACAATATGGCGATATTATTATATAACTTTTTACGTCAAGAAGTTTAAGGAGAATCGTGGTTAAGAAATTACCCAACTTTTTGAAACACCCTGTATGATTTTTTAAAAATTTCAAAATATGTAAAAAAAACAAAAAAATTATGCTTCTCCAAGCGTTTTCCAGAAAGACTAACCGTTTTTTAAATAAAAATAATGGTATTTGAGGGGCGTTTTTCACCCTCTTGGAATTTGAGATTCCAGAAACCCCCTCCTTATCGAACCTCTACACCCCACAGTCAATACGTTTGCCAAAAATCAGCTTTAAACGTCAAGTAGTTTAAGCAGAATCGTGATTACTCAATGGTCATATTTTATGAAACACCCTGTATAAATTTATAAAAAATCTTAAAATATGTAAAACAACAAAATAAAATATACGTGTTTAAGAATTTTTTAAATAAAAAATATTTTAATATTTGTGGGATAGTTTCACCCCCTTAGAATTCGAGTTTCGAAAAATCCCTTCTTATCGAACCTCTACGCCCTAAAGTCAATCTGTTTTCCAAAAATCAGCTTTTTACGTCAAGCGCTTTAAGCAGGATCGTAATTAATCAATGACCAGATTTTTCGAAACACCCTGTATAAATTTTTAAAAATCTTAAAATATGTAAAACAAAATAAAATATACGTGTTTAAGCTGTTTTTCGAAAAAGTTGACCGTTTTTTAAATAAAAAATATTGTAATATTTGAGGGGTGGTTTCACCCTCTTGAACTGGAATTTCGAAAAATCCTTCTTATCGAACCTCTACACCCTAGAGTCAACCTGTATGCCAAAATTGAGCTTCTTACGTTGAGTGGTTTGTGAGCAGGATCGTGATTAATCAGTATGTCAGTTACTTAAGGATTTTATATATTAGTATAGATAACTAACCAAACCAATCACAGAGCCAATTATTAATCTTCATTTTCTTACTAAAATTTCTAATAAAATGTCTCTATTTTGCAGTTTCTCAAATTTTAGTCTTTATTTATTGCATTTTTTACTACTGCAAAATACATTTTTCCTGCTTATATACTGCAAAATACACAGGGTTCTTTTTTGAGGTGTAAAATATTGACGTTTTCGGGGCATGTGTAAACAATCCAGCTTTCTGGGCACGTTTCGAATGTGACAACAGATGCGTACTCTGAAGTAATGTATTCCACGTTACCCAGACATTGTTACCCCATTTCTTGTTTTATACAAGGTAAACAAAGAAGAAGGTATAATATTTATTGAGTATAAGGTATATTTTAGATGAAAATTCTGGTGGCACTGCTATGTACTAAATTTGAATATTAGAATTGACGTCTAAATAATGACCTTGCCAAAATTATCATCGATTGTCACTCCCCAGCCGTCTTTGACGTCGTTTTTTTTCGATTATTACAGTATTTTAGATAAAACTGCTATGTACTGAGTTATACTCTCCTGTACTAATAAACTACTAATATTTACATAAAAAATACACTCAAACTAGACAACTTAAAATTACGGCCCTGGATATTCTCCAAGATTAACTTTTCGCAACGTTAACACACAGTTGCAATTTCAGAATTAAATTATCTTCATTCCAGGCAAATGAACATAATCTAGCTAATTTCTTAATTTCCACGGCATAATACAACGGCTGGAAACTTATCGTTTTCGGCAACACTTGCTCAGCGTCTGTCTAAATTGAATATACATACATTCCAAACAGCAGATCTAATTATATAACAATAGCGAGCATATTGATTTTGGTTTGAATTAGGTTTGGATATCAGATATTGAAAATTTAATTTGAATTAATAGAGAATTAATGGAGTAATGGATTTGAATATATAAATATCATTTGTAGTTTTACACTTTTTTATGTGCAGTTAGTTTATTACTAGTTAAAGAGTAGGTAGGGGTTCTAAGTCATGTCATGTCTATCTCCATCTGAAAATATTAATAACTTCTTTTAATACTTTCTTTGTAGAGTCAACAAATTTTGCTAAAAAGCTAACTTTTCCTTGAAAATTCTATCAAAATAATATTAAAAAATTATTTTGGTATTTGGCTTTAGAACTGATGGCATGTGTCCATCAGCAGTTTACCATTAGCTGAAGAAGTATGATTCTTGAGTTGGGGGTATAAATTCATTATTAAATAGCATGATTATCATCAAAAGAATATATTAAAAGCGAATTAAAACGAGAAAACTTTCCTCCAGGACCCAATCCAGTGGGTCCTTTCGAACTCGATGGCATGTGTCCATCAGCAGTTTACCATTAGCTGAAGAAGTATGATTCTTAAGTTGGGGGTATAAATTCATTATTAAATAGCATTATTATCATCAAATGAATATATTAAAAGTGAATTATAACGAGAAAACTTTCCTGGAGTGGGTCCTTTCGAACTCGATGGCATGTGTCCATCAGCAGTTTACCATTAGCTGAAGAAGAACGATTCTTGAGTTGGGGATATAAATTCATTATTGAATAGCATTATTATCATCAAAAGAATATATTAAAAAGCAAATAATAACGAGAAAACTTTCTGGAGTGGGTCCTTTCGAACTCGATGGCATGTGTCCATCAGCAGTTTACCATTAGCTGAAGAAGTACGATTCTTGGATTGGGGGTAAAAATTAATTATTAAATAATATTATTATCTCCAAAA